TTTGAGTTTGGGAAGGGGGGGGACGGGGGGGGGGGGGGGGGGGGGGGGGGGGGTCAGCTCACAGAAACAATTAATTAATTAATTCTAAGTTTAGAGTTCAGGTGAGCTGTGTTTCGTCACACTGTGGGAGGACAGTCGTGTGGAATGGGGAGAACATTCTCCTCATAAGTCGTGTGACCTGAGACTCTTGTTTTGCAGGCGCGCGCATCATCATGGCGTGCAGAGACCTGGAGAGGGCAGAGGAGGCCCGAACGGAGATTTTGGAAGACACAGGAAATGAGAATGTGGTCATCAGGAAACTGGATCTCTCTGACACTAAGTCCATTAGAGCTTTTGCTGAGCTCATCAACAAAGGTAGGAAACTGACCACCGATATCTTTACAAATGGCACGGTTTGTGGGTCGATCCCTGGCTATTCCTGTCCACATGTCTGCGAGCAATGGAGAGAGACTTGAATAACTCCTGATTGTGCTTTTTCATAGCAGCTCTTAGACCATTGATGCGTCTGCACATGGGTTAATGAGAGGCCAACTGTAAAAAGCGCTAAATGCAGTCCACTTACCAAACACCCCTTGCATTCATGCCACTTATTTACATACTCATGGGAAAGTATTACTAACTCTAACTTCTTTTGTGTTTGTGTGGAAACTTTTCAGAGGAGAAACAAGTGAATATCCTGATAAACAATGCAGGCGTCATGATGTGTCCCTACTCCAAGACTGTTGACGGCTTTGAAATGCAGTTAGGTGTCAATCATTTGGGTAAGTCATAGTGAAAGGCATACAATTCAGGGAAGTGGTTCGGTTGGCTGTGGTGTCAGCGGGATAAATAAGCGAGCGACGGCTCAGTCTCGGTAATTGCCGTAACATAAACAGCTGGCAGTCAAATCTTTGAGTGATTTATTAACATGATTACACAGTGATGGGAGGGCTTTTCCTGCTAAACAAGGTTCAAATATTATAACCCATATTACGTTGTATTAAAAAAGCCATTGGACACATGTACAACCAAGCTGGCTAACATGTCAGCCAGGAAAATGAACCAGAGTTGCGGTTTTCTTCAGCTGTCAGTGTTTTCCCTGCATTGACTCATGGCTTCCTTCATAATTATCTTTGCCTCGGTGGTATTTTTGGCACAGGCTGACAGAGAGAAGAACAGTCTGTGCTCGAACATGGTCACCCATACACATATGCGAACACATATGCAGACACACACACAGTCACACACACATGCATGCGCACATATATAAATACATACCTTTGCATGTACGAACATCCTTTACATGTGTATATGTACTTTAAATAACAATAAACTCTGGTTAGGTCAATAGTAAAACAGGAAAAAGAGAACAATAGTAAAGAAAGCAAACGTTTTTAGGGTAGTGGAATTGTGTATGTGTACCCTGACCGGAAATCAGTTTTTGCAAACTTTTCCCAGTGTTTCAGTATGTATACAGTACAAGAGCATCCATTTTCTTATTTCAACATTGGTGAGGACACATATTAAGCGGGGGTCTGAGGGGAGAGTGTCAAACACTCATTTCCATTTCAATCATTTCCTGCATTCTGGTGAGTTTTTATGCACCAATTTCTGGTGGAAATGTCTTTATTTATTTAAAGGAAAACAAAAGTCAGGCGACTAGTGACGATCACAAATATGAAAATATAATGGGATACAATGCAGTAATGCTCTCAGGCATTCTGTATTGCTTTCAGATATGTATTGTCCTGATCAACTATTTTCATTTAGTGTTATCCCTGATGAGTCAACGCACATGCAGCCATGATTCACTAGCCATAATGACTATGGTATGACCTTTTTACGACATACTATCCTATTACTTTTTAATAACTTTTTTAGGGCATACTATAACATGACTTTTTATGACATACTGTAGTATACTTCACAGCATACTATACTATGACTTTTTTTTTACTTTTTATGACATACTATACTTTGACATTTTTACTACCTATTACACTTTAACTTTTTTGACATACCATACTATGACTTTTTATGACAAACTATAGTATGACGGTTTATGACCTACTATACTATGACCTCTCAGTGGGACCCAAACACACCGTCACAGAGCTACCGGACAGAGGAAAGACACCACAATACTTACAGGCAGCAGTAGCCTATGTACATAAGAAAATGCTAAAATATGTACTTATGATTGGAAACAACCTATTCTATTATGATTTTACTTGAAGTATTACAACTTTTTCTCTGAATGTTTTGACTTAATTAAAGAAGGTATTTTAAAGAATATTTTTGAAGAATATTTTTAATTGTCCATTGTAGTTGACAGACTATAATTCCGCTTTTTGGTTGATCTTTTTCTCGCTAATCTGCGGCTGCATTAGAGCAGAGCTTGCCATGTTTACTCAGTCCTCCCTCAGACCTCCTTCTGCAGCAAAGGCCAGCGTTCTGCATCTGTCGAAGCGGAGCCTCGACAACGCTTCTACTTCTTTTTGTTCTACGTTAGATTATAACCATTGCTTTTGAGGTTACTGTCCCCTACTTTAGCGGAGGTATTGTTCTAGCGGTTTTTCAAAAATAGAAGTCCTCTGCTACTTTCATGTTTCATTTGGGGGAGACAAATTCACATGTTCTAAATATTTAGAGAGACGTGTCCCCCCCCCCCCCCGAGATCTGGGCTCATGATACAGTTGTTGATCACATAAAACTTTCCTAAGATTATCTCGACTTTTGACTTGCAACACATGGTGATTTCCATTCATACAGCTTATAATGAGGCTGCTTGAATAACAAATGTAGGCTAAATGTCTTTGCCTTCTAGTTCCCACTTATTGTAAATGAAGAGCATCAATCAACATGTTGTTTACATCAGGGTTGCTAATGAGCTCATTATCATAGTAAGCGCTACTGTATGTTGACTACGAAAAACAACCGCTTGTGACTCCAGCATCACATGGAACTACAAGAACATCACATAGTAAACATGCAGCAATACCATGATGTTTGCCCTTAAATTTATGCATGGAGAGTGAGTAAGCTCATTGCAAGTGATTGCAAGAAAGAGAGTCTTACAAGGAGGGACAAAGACCACCACAGAGGAAGAAACAGAGGGAAAGAGACACACCCGGACTCCTAATGTTATTATAGCAACAGTACGGTGAAAATGAAAGTCACTTCAGTGTTGGTGATAAAGAACATTGCTGTAATTTAAAAGATGTGGTTCAAGGACACTTTATAGGAGCTCTCCGCTCAGCACTTCAAAATCAAAGCACAAACCAAAAGACCAGAGAACCACAAGAAACACACCAACAGTATAAGGAGTCCAGATAGCATCTGGTTGGCACAGCGGTGATGTCTCGCAGAGTGGTACAGTTATATTACCTCTACAGCAGCTCCAACTTTCTCTTTCTCTTTAAAGCCCTTCTTAATTAAAAAAGTAGGCTATGTAGGGTGTTTTATGAGTTTCCAAATCTTTAGGATTTTGGCTGGCAGCTCTACAAGAAAAACACATCCCGGTGTAGTGTAGTCTGTTTGGGTAGCACAGGACAATAGCCTCTAGGTTTGTGTCTCATGACTTTCCGCAGGTCATTTCCTGTTGACTTACCTGCTGCTGGACCTCATCAAGCGCTCAGCTCCTGCCCGTATCGTCGTCGTGGCATCGGTGGCCCACACTTGGACTGGAATTCGACTGGATGACATCAACAGTGAGAGGAGTTACGATACCATGAAGGCCTATGGGCAGAGCAAACTGGCGAACGTCCTCTTTGCACGCTCACTTGCCAAGCGGTTACGAGGTGAGGTGGTGCAAGCATAAGCACACATCACGAGGGATGGAAGAAAGAAAGAATAAGTTGATTACACATTTGGTTGTAAATTTTATATATATATATATATATCGATCAGCTCCTGCCTGTATCCAGATATGAT